CAGGAGATGCAATAGCAGCACGGATAGATAAATGTGGAACAGCTTTAGTTTAGGTAGGTTTGGTGCTAATATAAAGAAGCTTGCAAAGGGCTGCTAGAGAAGGCTAGAGAGCCCCATAAAAGCCTGTGCCTACCGGGTGAACACAATTTTGATTTCCACATCCAATATGCTGCAAGAGCAGTCACCTCTTTCAGTCACCACCTCCACAGCCGCACCTTTTGCAAAAGTTTTGTGAAAAGAAGTCCTTGACCTAACTGCAGGCTGATAGTTTGACTGCACGCTTCCTTGTTGAGCGTTGCTGCTACTAGAGCTGGATCCTCCCACTGGAACGTGAGACCACAAAGAAGATGAAGGCGGTACGGTCTGTACGGGCACCAGCAGCTTAGGTGAAGGCGCACAGAGTAATCAGGAAAAGACACGTTCGTGTAAGTATGTTTGATGTTGTGCTTTAACGTCAAACGTTCCCAAACTGTTTAGAACCTCGCACTTTGCTGAAAAAGCTTCATAAAGCAGAAAGAAAAATAATTTAGTATTTAAAATGAAGTTGTTGGTTTTTAAGAAGTCTGTCTCCCAGTAACACAATTAAGAATACTGCTTGAAGAGATGGAATCGAAAAGATGTGTTGTTATAAAGTTATATTATATTTAGACATAATAGGTGATTTTTACAGCTGTCCCTCTGCCAACTGGCTGAATACCAGGCTACAAAACGGGCGATGGGCAAAACGGGACAAAAGGTGTCTATCTTATCTCCGTTATTTTCAGTGGATGTAGGGTTTTTTCCCACTCGGGATGTTGTTGTCTAAGGGGCTTGTAACATTTTGTCCAGGACTAATAAAAGTATTGACATTTCTGTATGACTTCATCAAAACAGTTGTGTACGTTGCTGAATTATTATTATTTTTAGTTGCAGTTGGTTGGGGAAATATGCAAGCATATTTAGGTATGCTTTGAAATGGAGCACAGGACAAAACGTCAGGTGGCTAGCTAGGCACACTGGAGTCCATTGGTAAGCACTTAATTATAACAACACTTCCTCTGCAGGAAGACAGAAGTTTTCTTTCTCCTCAGTAAAGACAAAACCTCTCTTCTAAGCAACCGGAGGCTGTCCAGGATCTCCCTTTCTGTCTTTTCTTCAAAGGGCTGTCACAGTAGAAGGGCTAGGTATCAGCGATCAGTCCTTTCCCAAATCAGGTGCAAGTGTGCACATTTCGTAAGCCTGTCCTTTTTCTTTAAAGAGACATTTTGCAATAGAAAGAACTGGTAAGTAAAAATCTGTAAAATCCCCTTTGTGGTTAGAATTATCAGTCCTTCTAAAGAAGGACTGGGGAAGTAAGGAAAGAAATAAAATAAAACTCTTTCAGGCTAGTTTTCTTCTGAGATCCACTCAGATCTGGGTCTAGCTAATGGCTCTGTCAAGATGGAGGAATCACACCTCAAGTAATTAATTACGGCCCCAATCTCTTATTTTATTGTTTTAAATGAAAGTAATGGAAAACTAAATCACTAGATATGCCCTAGTAAAGTCCTTCGCTTGCACAGATCTACCTTCTTTGTTTGGACAGAAAAGGGATAAAGAGGAAATGATTTTAAAAATCAAACCCTCTTCTCTATGTGAAGAAACCCCACTGGACCCATAAGTCTCTACAGACTCTTTTTTTTTTTTTCAATAAAAAAAGCATCCTGTTGTTTTCCACTTGCTAGTTCCTCCATATCTGAAAAATTTGTACAGGCTGGCAGGGGCTTTTGTGCTCTGCAGTGAATGGATTGATTCCTTTATCAAATATAAAAGTTTACTTTTTATTTCCATCTCATGAAACACTTAGGGACGCTCAGTACAAGCATCCTAAGCAACCAAAACCTTTCTCTTGGCGTCTTCAGAAGTGAGCAGGTTATTTTCTTGTAACGCTATTTGGATGACGGAAGGAAAGAGAGGAGGTGGAAGAGACCACCTCCAAATATTATCTCAGAAGATACTAAATCTTGAAATTTGGGGGGAAATTTTAGGGGGAAAGCAATCAAAATCAAACTTAAATGGTGACACATTCAAAGTGAACTCAGTACTCATAAAAAGCATACAGAAGAAAAAAGAAATTCTATCTCCCACTGCAAGAGCCAACAAAATTACAAGCTTCTTAACCAATGCTCTGCTCTCATGCTAAACTGCTCGTGACAGAGCTTGCAAGTCCGAGGCCTTCAGCAGTAAAAATGCAGCATAGTCTTCTTATTCATCACTGGATCCTCTAGGTGCTCACAAGGACAGTGACACATTCTTCAAGAACTTAAGGGGGCACTAAAGCTATTAATTTCTGCAACTAGGTATCAGAGAATAGTATTCAGGGGAGTGAGTTGTGACCAATTTGAAGTAGTAACTGAGAGCTAAAGGTTGGCACGTTCTCAATGCCCAGTTATTCAATTTCCAAAATTGTAACTTTATATAGAACTACAGGTAGACACTCAACTATTTTGTTGCCTATGACACTGTATTATTAATATATGACACTATATTATTAATAATATTCAAATACAAACACCAGACCTGTAAATCTCCCTCATGTTGTGGTAATCTTGAGCAATCAAATAACTGAGCTTGTCCATCTGGAACCAGTGTCTGACACTACATTTACACACACGGCCCTAGTGGTCAGTCCCATTTACTGACAGCACAGCAGGGAAGCCTCCATTAGAGTGTAAATTTTCAGAATTTGCTGATAATGCATCTGGAACAAAAAGGATGAGACAAGAACATAGCTCACCGAAAATGGGATGGTCAGGGAGAGGGAGAGAGAGAGAGACTGAATTACTAAAAATAAAAGAAGGGAGCAGCAAGGATGAAGATAGCTTTTTGGTTTTTTTTAACGCAGGCATAAGTTTAAAAAGAAAATAAACGGAGCCCATGCTTTAACAAGGATAGGTAAAAAATACTAACTGTAGAAGGTGCATCTGATGTTTGAGAAGGCTCTAGATCAAGAACGAAGTCACCCACTTACATAAAAACACACCATTTATATAGGCATTTTTATAGTGTCATACCACTGTGTTTTTTCTTTGACAGAAATTACTGAAGATAAAGGTGGATCTCTTCTAGTTCTCCTCTCTGTAAAACTCCCAATGAGTGTCAATTTCTGTGATAGATTTTGTTACGTTGTTGTGTTTAACAGTTCAGTGCAGTGCGCAGATCTCAAAGAACTGCACTGTTTGCTTCGGAATTTGATACTAACAAGCGGGTAGGTTTTTGGCCATTTTTCACTAGCGCCCACAGTTTATTCTATATTCAAGTAATCTACACTTGGCTTCAGAATTCCTAAAAACATGGAAATGTTATACTGTTTTTGACTACTGTTCATTACAAACTTGTAATGTTCACATCCAGTCTTCACAATGGTGTCACTTCATAGTTACTAAGCTTGCATAGTGTCCGCCTTGTGCGAACGGTATTTATAATAGCGACCGCTTACCAGGAGGAAGGAGACGAGCTAACCATGGTTAGCTGTTATGCTGCCAAAGTAGATTTTCTCTGCTCTACGGACTGCCACGTTGAGGACAGCTTTGCGCTAGCTAACTGCATTCTTCACAGCCATAGGCAGATACGTGGCAGTGCAAATAAGTGATTGCTGTCAACGGTCTGGATAGGAGCAGGGACAGTGATGCTATAGACGTTAGGCTCGATGCTCACAGTGATCATTACAAAATGATTATGATCAAGACTGAATTAAGAATCTGTCTTTTTGTCTTTTTTTTTTAAGCTCTCCAAATATTCACTCCGTGTTCCACAGTCCTGTCCCTGAAGTCCTTGGCCCATTCCTGCCAACAAGAAGCTGCAACTACGCAACAGCGGGAGAGAGACCGTCTTGGAAAACACGTTCACCTAAAGCAGGCTGCAAATACTTAGAGTTGCAATAAAAGAGACCCCCCTCCCGCACACCCCCCCCTCACC